AAAAGCCTTCGCGTGCGCCCTCTAACCAGCGGGCTGCTTGAGCAACCTGGATGCCCTGCCATAAAAACAACTTGAGAGAAGCGGAACGATGCCATCAGGTGGTCCTCGAAGACCTCACAATCGATTTGGAAGTTTGTGCAGTGGTTCGAATACCGTGTGCGGAAGAGATGACGGAGACAATCGTGCTGCAAAGGCAGACCTGTTCTGACAGAGACCTCGTCGGCGTTGTAGAGCAGTGAGTTGCTGACAGGAATGCCCGGGGAGGCACGTTTGTGGGCACACTGGACGCAAGATCTGACAGGACCGGGGAATCTAGAGTCATGGGGAGCTCGGGGCGCGCTTTGTTTCTCAGGAGGCTTCTAGTCAGACAAGGCGAGGAAGCCCTTGGAAATCCCGACTTTCGGAGCCCAACTGGAACACACTAGAACAATGTGACAGGTGAAGAGCAGTTCAGGAGGGAAGCAGCGTGCTAAGGATGTAAAATGAGTCAGGTCTTTTTTAAACGTTGATCGCCAACTCTGAATTTATTGTTTGCATACTCGCAGGTCATTTCCGTCGTCTTCAAGTTTAGCAATTCTTTCAGTTGGTTCACGTGCCGCTGGCTGGATTTGCAACTGCTTTTTCGCCAGTTTGCCGAGAATCAACATCCACGCTAATCGAAGCTGCACACTTCAAACTGACAGTCACTGTTCACACTGTCAGTGCTGCGCATGACAGGGGGAAAGAGGTCGAGCTAGCTTGGGCCTGAGATCGGCCATAAGGGCAAGCCGCGTCAAGTCAGAAAGTGAATTCTTGACCTGTCACCCTGCAAGGTCTTTCTTCAGGATTGACACATATGGCTGGCAGTTCCGTGCAGCAAACGCGTGGCACGTGAGGACAAGATGTTCAGAGCTCCGAAGTTTGCCAGGGGCTTCTCAGGGAGCCAAGGACCCATGTAAAATCGGTTTCACCATTTTTCGAGGAAGGCACAAGCATTCTCCCGACAATTAGGTTGCAGGCTTCAAGGCTTTGGCTTTGCTGGTTCATGCCAGTTGTTGACAGCACCTGAGATGTGGCAGCGTACTTGTCCTGTGCTGGTTGGAATCGTCGGAAGCCAGGCGAGCTGTTTTGGCTCTTGAGTCGTCTGTCCTTATTTACCGTGACATGCTGATCCGCTGGCATCGACCGTAGTAGTCTTGGTGGGGGGGGGTTGGGGCGGGTGGGGGGTTGCAGGTGGTGCGGACGGGGGGATGCCTCACTGCTAGCTGAATAATTGTCCTCAGCCTGTCATAGCGCCCGTGCCAACAATTACCTTGATGGCAAAGTACCAGTAGGTCTTTGGGCTTAAAAATGATCGGCTCAGAGCCTGCAGTTCGCCGTCCTCGAATGTCAGCATTGGCAGCGGGTAGCAGTGGTCTCGGCGGTCCTTGCCGTGTTTCTAAAGTCCAGTCCTGCACACTGCGTTGGCTAGCCAAGTGGATGCGCAGCGCGATGTCCGCAGAGAGCTATAAGGGCTCCATCATTGGGGTGTGAAGATGGCATACAATACGTGAACTGCGAGCCGTTTAGCAGAACAGCGCGCCGCTTCACGGTGGTTGCACGCTCCCAACGATAGCCGAATTCGAAGCCAGGTTTTTGTATTACTTTTCATGGCCCTTCCTCACTTTGATGGAATCAGTTCTGAAGTGGTTCATTGGCATTATGGCAGCTTGCATCAGCTCTGGCGAGCATGAGAGTAACTGGCACAGGATGCAAATTGTTGAAGCGGTACAGCCAACTGACAGGCTCCAGGACATTTGTTGAGCAAGCGATGCCATCGTTGGTCCTCCTTCCGAAGAGAAGATGGCTTGTGCATTTTTGCTGGTCTCTTGTGCACTCTTATGTTTCTAGCCTGACATTATGCCACTGCAGACCGCAGAACAGATGCATAAACATTGCCATGGAGCCGGTAGGCTGTGCTTGACGCTGGGCTGCTTGCTCTCCGGCCTGGTAGCTGGCTTGAGCTTAAGAACCTGTCCACCTCCTGACGCTCCCTGTGTGGCAAGAGTACGGCATGAATTGACAGTGGCATGGAAGCTACGGGCGGAGGTGGACAAGGTGATCTCTCAGCGGTCCTATGAGTTGCTGATCCTTTACGACTGGATTCCCGCGGAGGACACGCGGGCAAGTTTTTCGTGTTGGTGTGTTGGTTCTGACCATTTCTGACCGCTAGTGTCAGATTGCTGGAGCTAGCTGCAGCCACGTGCCAGGAAGTTGTGCAACGCCGCACGGCTTTGAGAGGCATTGAAGCCATGGAGGCTGGCCGACATCTGCTTTGTGCTTTGACATTCATCGGGTGTGATGCTGAAGGTGTGGAGCATGCAATTGCGATGGTGCAGCCGAAGATCATGTCAACTGATGCTCTTGCTGAGAAGATGGTCACGACGTGCGGCAATATACCATCCGATCTGAACATGGATTGGTTCGGGGTTTGCAGCAATGCAATTTGGGAGTGGGCGGAGGCTGAGTACATGATTTCTGCTAGATTGTTCATGTCCGACTCGGGCCGCGCACAGAGGTCTGATGCAGCGGATAAACTCAACATCCGCAAGACAGAGTCTGCCGCTGGCTACGACGCTGCAACCTATCCATCAAGCTTCAGCCCTGGCAACATCTGTGAACTGAGCCGTACGCTCCTGCCAAGCAAGAATTCGAGGTTTGGCTTGCAGCCGGTCTTCAGCGGTGAAGCTTTCCGTGACGTTTCTTGGGTAGATGTCACAAATCTGCGGACGCGCCATTTAAGCGCAATTTCGCTGCTGGAGGTGCTGGAAAACGGAGCAGATTTTCAATTAAGACATCCGTTCGGACTGTCCCGCGTTGCCGTCAATCTGGGAGGCCTGCCGAAATCCTTTCTACCCCTGGTCGGGTTAACCACTTTCTGATGTGTAAATATCCCGCTGATGTGAAATCTTCCCAACGTCAGCGTCCGCAGTAGATGAGGTGTATTCTCACCGCGTGATGTGTGTTAACCCCGGGATAAGTAGTAATGACCCGCAGCAAGTGACTGGTAAGATCCCTGGAAGGTGGAGATGGTGCGTGCATGGTGGGGCACAGCCTGGACCCGGTGAACTGCTTCTTCCCACAGGGTTTTGGCGGTGTGGTCTTTGAGGCTAACAAGACGTTGGAGCCTCTCTTGTTTGAGAATCTGGCCCAGTTCGCACCCAGTGTCCAGATTGTGTTGGAGGCAGCGGTGGAAGACTCAGTTTCCAAAAGGCTGCAGGAAGCCCTGTCCAGATGCCCCTCTCAAGTTCCGAGAGGAGAAATTGACATCATTAAGGTGGACGTAGATGGTCCTGACTGTCACTTAGTTCGAGGGCTCTCACAAGATGGCTGGCGACCAAAAATCTGGCACGTTGAAATCAATCCTCTGTTTCCTCCAGACATCGCAGTGTGGCCTTCTGGTCCCAGTTTGGGATCCTCCACCACAGTGAATCGACAACATGATTTGAGCTCTGCTTTCTCTCGACGTGGAGCTGCAGATGAGAAGCAGGCTCTTGTAGGCTGCTCTCTGCAAGCGCTGTTGGACTCAGCAGGAGCTGATTACGTTTTTGTGCATATGGAGTTTGAGAATGCAGTTCTTGTACGGCGAGACATTTCAACTGCTCTAGAGCCATGGTTGTCTTCTCGCGATGATGTGCGCAGCTCAATGTCCAATCGGCTGTATGCAAGGGCATACGCCAACATGTGGCCTTCACAGCTTAGGTGCAGAAATGGCGTGATGGCTATTTCTGCCATCCGTCCTTTGGCGCAGAACTGAAGGACATACAGAGAGACAGAATTGCTACAAGCCAAGGATGGCTCGCGTCCGAATGCCACACGACTCAGATCAGGTGTTGCTGTGTTGCTTCTTATCTTGTTGGTTGACGCAGTTAGTGCTACTGAGTCTATTCATCCCTGAGCTGCAGGACTCACTTTTCTTGCACTATGACTTCAGGCGTTGGGGGGTCAGATGCTGATTGCTCGAATTTTCAGAGGGGGTCGGTGCATGCCAACCAGCACAAGGATCCGAAACTCTCCCAGGAGGAGCTTGTCCGTCTGGTGCAGGCTGCCCTGGAGCTTTTGCTGTGCAGCTGCTCTGTTTATATGTACCTCAACAGCCAGGACTTCTTGAGCGCATTCGTCCAGGATGGAAGTTACAGCTGCTGTCCGAGAGCTGTCTCCAGCACAAATGGATACAGTTTGTCCTCATCACAGACAATGAATCAATTCAGGCCTGGAGGCAGCACCAGCGTCTGTCAAGTCGCGGCGCTCAAATCAGACAGCTTGCCAAGCGCATTGGTTTGCCAGTGGATTCAAGTTTCGTGCAACGTGCATTGCGTCAGATTTAGCTGCAAAACTCAAGGTCTGAGCTTTCTCACAACAAGCCCTGGGTCCCCTTCTTATCTCCCATCGAGGACTACTATGGGTCATTAGGTGAATCGGCTCCAATACAGCACCCACTAGCATCCAACATGCAGCTTTGCAGGATGTCAATTGTGATACGCGTTCCAAGACCTATCTTTTCCAGCTGCTGGTGGCATGTTTGGGCTAATCCTGTCATCATCTGACGTATCTGCGGCACAAGTGTGTGTCACACGCATGCTGCTCTGCTCGGTTTTTCTTTTTTCTTGTGATCTACCTGCCTGGCAGATGGCAAATCATTCTAGAGAATCTGCAGCGTCCGAATCTGAGTCCATCTGTTTTTGGTGTTAGGGCACTTGGATCATCGAAATGCGAGGCTTGTTATCTTCATGGGCTGCAGGCAACGGCCAGCTTGAGGCCTAACTTGGATGATTCGGATGCCTTGCCAGTCCCAAAAGCCCACCATGCCGCACTTGCTGGATCACGCGCAGGGCGTGCTGACCCATTTGGTGGAGAACTTTGCAAATCAACTGAACATTGACAGGGCGTCCGCGCCCCGGCAACAGGATCATATCCACGAAGCGTTTCACAAATTGGCATGTGGGCTGTCATAAAATGCGCTGGGAGATCCTTGAACCTTGCGAAAAAGCATCCGGCAGTTGTGCAGCTGGTGCAGCAGTCCTGAGAAAGTAGAACTGCTTTATGACTTTTTACGACTTCAGGTGGCCGATTTTCAAGTCGGTCGCCGCGGCCGAGCTCGGCTCTCGGTTCCCAGAACTGTCCGAGATTGACTTCCTAAAATGCTTCAGGCACAGCGGCACATCTGTAATGTAACAGAGTATGTTATGAACATAGCAGCCTTTAAGGTGTCCCATCGGTGGCATCTCTGCGCGGAGCCTGGAATGCCTGAAAGAGGAAAAAGGGAATCGTCTCGGTCTGGCAGATGGCAGCTGCAATGCGATGGCGCTGCCAATCAGGATTGTGGAAGGACAAGGTGTTTTGAACCTGTTTGCTTGACTCGCCGCACTCCTCGACTTCTTGATTACTTTCTGTGCAATATTTGTCAATCCATGTGTGTTGACGGAATGTTTCATGATTTGAGTTGTGCTTCCATTCGGTGCGATGATGCCTTTTCCCCCCCTGTTGACATCTTTTCAACCCAGCTCATTCAGAACTACCTGCAGCCTACAGAACCTCAGCATCCGGATTTGTATCAGGAACACTCCAGCCATCAAAGACCAACAACTCACTGAACTTGCAGTATCCTTGTTCATGTTTCGTACTGAATGTTCGCAGAACAATCGGGCGACTTCACACATATTTGCAGTCGCCAGGGTTTCCTGATAAACCCGAAGCGGCCTGTGGTTTAGATTTTCTTTGGAGTATGGTTCAAACATCGGCAAAACATCGACTACCAGCCAACAAGGATGATCGGATGGAGCTGGCTAGCACAGGCTTCTTTGTTTGCCAGTTGTGTCACGAGCCCTGAATGGCCTTACCATATATGAAGATGTATGTTGTAAAGCCCTTGTAATGCTTAACACTTGCAGCTACGTGAGTGTCGATCCTGGTGTGGAGGTAGGTGCGAGGCTCGGGTTTGTGTAAAATCAAGCATGTAGTGGGGTGCCAACCATGGTGTTGAGTGTGTAGAAGGTGGTGTAGATCAGGGATCTATAAACATGAAATGTGGCGAGGCTCTGCAAGTATGAAAAGTGATGTAGAATAAGGGTCTGCAAGCATGAAACGTGGTGTAAAGCAGGGGTTGCAAGCATGAATTTTGGTGTAGAACAAAGGGTCTGCTGGCGCTAAGCAAAGTGGATTGTAATGCTTATGTAACACTTGCTTTAAGGATGTTAGTGCGACTGAAGGTGCGGAGGTAGGAGTTGGCACATGCGGAATACGTGCAAATAGTGGTGCTGGGGCTCCATGGACTCGTGCAAAGGAAGGGTTGGGGACAGAGATTCTTGGTGCGAAGGAAGGGCTCGGGATATTAATTCTGGGTTGGGGATGTATTTTTCTTGGTGTCAAGCGTGGTGTTGAGCATGAATATTCGCAAAGCTGGCTTTGACGGGCTTGTGTTGGATCATGCAAGCTGCTAACTAGATACACTGAAAACCGACGCTTCTGCGGCTTGAGCTTGCGTTTGCGCAAAGTGCCAGTATGGCTACTGTATCATTTTCGATACAAGTGTCTAGGGCAACCATACACATGTCGTGGGTGCATGCTGCTGTGCTCCGCACTGAACAGAACGTCATCGCGGCGCTTCCTGCTAGCTTCTGGCAGAGCGCTTTGGCTTGCTTCGGCGCGAGCGTCTGGGCATATAGGCGAGGCCCCTGGCCCCTGGCTTCAAAAGGTATTGGAACCATCTTGCTCTGCTACGCACACAACAGTTCGATTCCAATGTTGATGACAATCCATACTGGCTACGTGCTGCTGCGCCGCCCAAATCGAAGTCAGCAGCTGCCATCTTCTAATAGGACCGGAAGATCTATAGCCTGTAGTGTATACGAAGGGGGGCCAATGGTCTATAGCCGCAGGGAAATTCATGACGGAGTTCGATCCGACACTGTTCTAACATCATGAATTTTCCTGCGGCTCTAGACCACGGATCACACATACGTATACACTATAGGCTTTAGATCTTCCGGCCCTGTCAGAAGATGGCAGCTGCTGACTTCGAGGTGGGCGGCGCAGCAGCACGTAGCCAGTATAGATTGTCATCGACATTCGGAATCGAACTGTTGTGTGCGCAGCAGAGCAAGAAGGTTCCAATATATACCGTTAAATTTGAAGCCAGCAGACTCGCCTATGGGCCCAGACGCTCGCGTGGAAACAAGCTGAATTTGTGGTGCCCGATGCTTACTCTCGTCGTTGGTCACTCTTGCTCACCCAATACTCGCACGCGATGCTGATCACTGGAAGCTGGTTCCTGCTCGGCCTGCTCCTCGCGCAATGCTGCCCCGCAATTACTCACTGTTCTTCGCGCCCCGGCTACGATGCTCACGAATGCTTGCCCAGATGATGAAGCCACGCGCGTGCTGCTGCTCGACAATGACCGCTTTCAAATTCTGGTTGCGAACATTCATCCACGGCATGTCCAAATCCCAATGATGGTCCTTCATGGGAATCTACATGCGTTTGCCATAGGCAACCACCAAGTTCAACATCTGCAGAACCCATTTTGCACCTCTTTGGGAACCGTATTTTGCACCACATTTCATGCGTACAGAGCCCTGATCTACACCACAGTCCACACACGCAAAATCATGGTTCTCGCACCATTACATGTTTTGATTTGCTTTTGATTTGCGCAAACCCTAGTCCCACGCCTACCAGGACACCAGGATCTACACCCACTTGGCTGCAAGTGGAAAGACTGTCAGAGCCTGCCAGCTTCGAGAGCTTGAGAGAATTCATGCTCAACGCCACCTTTGACACCACGCTTCTGATATCTCGAGCCCATCTATCGCACCAAGAATGGACAACCCCAACCCCTCCTTCGCACTCAGAATCGAGGCCACAAACCCTCCCTTGCACTGCTTCTTGTAGTCCCAGCACCGCATTCTGCACCTATTTCACATGTCTGAATAACATGTTTGTACTTGTTTCCCATGTCCGAACCTCATCCCAACACCTCTACAAGCACCAATTTCCTTAAAACAAGTGTTAAGCATTACAGGGGCTAGCCAAGATGTATGCACCATCTGTCCAGCAGCCAGGAGCCCTACACATGTCATCATTCATACCCCAAACACGGTGAAGATTGTTTGGGAACATGATGCATTTTTTGGCAGTTTCAGTGGGTGTGGAAGGGTCCCATAGCAACGCTTATGTGTGCTGGTTTGGATGAACATTATTTTGGGTGGGCGGGGTAGATATTCCATGTATGCCCTTCCACATGTCAGAGGGAAGCGTCCTGCGGATGTACCTCCGGGTTACCATGTGTGTTCTGTCATTTTTTCGCCTTGAGTATTTTACAGGATCTGCCATCCAAAAAATGCTTGCAATCCTGTAGAAGTTTGGCCAAGCTAGTCTTAATGCAGCTCTGAAGACATGAGCTATGCAGATGACGTGGTGTGAGCAACAGTGCCAGAGCGCGAGCTGACGCAGCAGCCGAGACTTGCATGTTTGCGTCCCGATGTGTAGCTTAGCGCAAACCTCTGGCCTTATGCTTGTCTGTTTGAAATTCTTTGCTACTCAGATGTCAGTGAAACTTGCAGTACGTGTAGGGCTGGGATTCTGCTTGGTGGTGATACTTGGTGTGTTGAGCCCTTAGCTTGTGCTGTTTGTAGGCCTCATGGCGCCCCGAATGGTGAACCCTCCTGGCAGCCCAGCGCGAGAGCCCGCAAACGAAAAGGCTTGACATTCTGTTTTCAAGGGCGTCGCCGGAATGGGATTCGTTTTCCCTGGTTCAGGGCTCAGTGTCGGAGATCGACTATGTCACCATGGCAGGGTTCAGTCTTTGGTGGTTACCACGCCGGCTGAAGGAGGGGATGGTGGGGATTGACACCATGCACGCAAGGAAGCCAGACACTTTTTCATCGCACGAGCGTTCCGGGTCCACCTCTGTTTAGGTAGCCCTGGCGATTGTCGCCCTACAGCGGGAGATTTTATA